TGGGAGAAGTCCCAGACGGAGCAGTGAAGGGAAACTAGAATTGAGCGGAGCTGCGTGGGAAGGCAAGGGCCCGGCTACCAAATTGTTGTTGAGGGGATGTTTTTGTTAGGCCATTTTTGTTGGAGAGAGCATTTAGCACCTGTCCCCTTTGTTTGGTCAGCAATTAGATGCTTGGCTTTGTTCTMACTTTGGGTCTTTGCTGGGTTTGTGCTGCTGGGTTTGTGTTCAGATGAGAGTCCTCCTCTTTTTGAGGCATATCAGTGAGTATTTGTATGAGACTCGTGYTTTGTTTTAGGCGGCAGTGAACATTAGTAGACCTTCCCTGCTTCCTTWTCCCCAACATTGGCTCAGGAGCACCTTTGTGGATTTTTTTCCACTGGTTTTGTGAGCATAAAAGCCGCCACATGTGACTGCATGAAGACTAGGGTGCAGTTAGTTAGCTGTTTTGGAGTATAGTGGAGTGTGGCTCTTATCCTAAACCCAGTTTGGCAGCAGATGAGTTGTATGTTTTGTGAATTTATTAAAGGTTGCATRATTWGTTGAAAATGGCTTCTTGTTTGCATGGTTTTTGTTCAGTCTCTTTCAGAGTTAGCTTATGCACTAAGTTAATTGAGGTAGCAGAACATTATAAGATAGAAATAGGTCATAATAAGTTAAGACGCTATTACGTTTGGTTTAAAACAGGGTCTTTTGGARGCAGGGATTCTTTGTAGTCATTCTGTTAGTAAGCAGGAYACAAGTTGTCAGTCTAGTCCATCTGCATTACATTTTGAGCAGCAGAGGGAGCTGTTATATACTGTATGCAGTTAGAGCTAGAACAGTTGATGTGCCAATAGACCAGTGGCRCATACTAGAGTGCATGTTTGATGTTGCACAGAACCTCCTCTTTTTACCTAAATATGATGAATCAAGACACTTATTTCTTTTTGTTTGACTAAATAGCAGATTCTAGACTAGAGGTTGRTCAGACTTGGATAGGATTACCTTGTTGCAATGTGTACTCACAGGTAGAGAGTGTGAGTCTTTTTTAGCATTGAGTTTAGCTGACAGGAAAGTTGATGCCACAGTTAAATTTGCAGTGCTGAAAATGTATGAGTTCGTCCTAGAGGCATATCTCCAACAAGTTCAGTTTGGGAAGAGGCTTGATTCTCAGACTTGCTCTGAGTTTGTTCGTGACTTGAGTTTTGCATCTAAGCATTGGTTTACAGCTTCTGAGGCCACCACCTTTGAAGATATTTGCAACTTAATTGTGTTGGAACAATTCAAATACAGTACATGAAGCAGTTGCAGTTTACATAAACGAACAGAAAGTGAGATCCCCATCTGAAGCAGCAGCACTAGCAGAAGTCACTTTGAGACACACAATGTCATTCACCATAATTGTGATCTAAAACATGGTCCTTTGTCTGGAGTTTTAACTTACRAGCCCCAACAAGTAGTTGGTCAGTTGATTGAAATACCTGTAGATATTGTTTGGTTGAGTCACTGGAACAAATTGTGTCCCTTACTTAAATCTAAAAGGTTAGGTCAAGTTAAAACTGCTGTAATGATGGTCTCTGGACATCAGGGTGAGATTGTGCAGCCACAGGTTAAGTCTGCTTCTCAGTCTTGGGATTTTTTTTTTTTTTTTTAGTTTTCGTTTCAGATGGTGTAATGGCTTTAGTTGGTGAAAGTGTAGAAATACCAGTCAAAATGTTACAGGATCTTCAGATTCTTTTATTTTAGTCTGTGTTTGATACTGGTGGTTGAGGTCTGGTACAGGGCATGGGTCTAGTTCTAGTTTTGTCCTTTGTTCCAGCTTAGGTTTTGGTTCCAGATTTACTTTGACTTTACTTAARATTATTTTACAATAAACTAATTTTTAGTTGGGCTATACTGTTGTCTCCCTTCATTTCTTGTCATGAGCYATGAGCCAGCCTGTGACACAACACGTTACAACAGTACTGTTTTTCCACAATTATTTGAGACCATTTATTGTCCAACAAAATTTGTTATCGTTACAGCCCTAACTGCAGAGTTCTATAAGAATTACCTTCATGAAGCTGACAGTGTTTTGTAGGTGGTAGTTAATATTAGAGATGATATTAATGGCTCTGTGAAGAGAAACAGATCTTTACCCTTTGTTCAAGGAGCCATTCAATTAAGCTGTTCAATTTTGAACATCTGCAACATCATCCCGTAATGTTGCACGTCATCTTGTCAGTTGTACATACAGTGTACATAATACTCCTCCCCCTTCTCCTGTTTTATTCTGTCTCAGTAAAAGAAATGGAGGAGTGATTGTCTACATTTGGAGAGAAGGAAAAAATCTAACGAATAAGAACTCTTTACAGTACTATATAAAGGAGAGAATATAGTTTTTGAGAGTTGTTTTTTTTTTTTAATTTTTGCAGGAGAGCTGTACATCGGCGGCGTGCCCAAGAACATGTACACAAATCTGCCCAAACTGATTGCATCCCGGGACGGGTACCAGGGCTGTCTGGCCTCTGTGGACCTGAATGGGAGACTCCCTGACCTGATCGCAGATGCCCTCCACAGGGTGGGGCAGGTGGAACGAGGCTGCGATGGTAAGACATTTTTGTCTAATTAAAGTGTAACCTTGATGCTCTTGTGTTTGAAAATTAGAAGTTGTTTTGTTCAAAGGAAAGAAAACACTGACACATATTTCAGCTGTGACTGGCTAATCAAAAACCATTGATCTGACTGAAGTGTTATTTTCTAGTTTGTGAAAAGAATGTGATTTTTATTGCTAACAAAAATATATTTTTAAAAAAGTAGACTTTTTTAAGAATTAGTCATCTTTGTTTTTACATGAAGTTTCTTTGAGAAGTTAACTATTCATGAGGCCACTTTTTTAAGTATAACTTTCGTACAGTTTTGTATGTTTATTTCACTGTTATTACACTCTTATTGTTCTTCGTCAAACATGACCAATTAAGTAATGTGTGAAACATCAGGTGTATAMAACGGACTTCATCTTACATAAAGTATTCATTTTCCACACTCTCAGATGTAATTGTTTTTAAGCAGATTCATACACATAGACACTTGTAAAAACACACCTCCACAAAGACACACACACTTCACTCCCCTTCGTTTGCCTCCGTAGCAACTCCCACAGGAATCCTTCTCCCATGGGAGCCACATCTGTTGACATTCTCACAAACAATAACAACAGTGTTTCTACAGTTAAGAGCAGAGGTTTGCATGCCTCGTTTTGTTCCTCACTGTCTAACAATAAATTAGAYTGTTTTCAGTCAGTGAGGATATTAGAATTTTTTTCTACATGTTAATGTCGGGGGAGCGGGGTGCAAAGAAGAAAAGAATATTAAGATTTATATTTTCTTCGACCACTTGTTCTACCGCTTTCTGCCTTCCATATATCCCATCTGTTTATAATATCAGCATAAAGCAGGCATCTTTTACTCCTTATGGAAAAAAGGGGCTTTTTAATATCGTCAGTACCAAACTCAGTGTTATACTTCCTTGTTTTATGCTTCCTTGTGTGAATACTAGTAATCATTCACACAGTTGAGATCATCCATTTTTCTTCCGTACATTTTTTGGCACTTATTTCATTCTGCAATTTTTGTTCTGTCTCAAAAATGTCTACATCAAAACAATTTTCTCCTTAAGGACATTCTGGCTATGACTTTTCAGCTATTTCTATATGTATAAAAAGCACTTTTCACCTTCTTTTCTGGTTTAGATTTTCTTAATGTCCTTTTGATGATTTAAGCTTCCTTCAGCCTTTTTTTTTTTGCTAAGTTTAGCTTTTTTCCAACTGTTTTAGTGATTATTTCAACTTTTTTCAGTTATTCTGTTGCTTTAAACTTTTTGTACTTCTATTAGACTATTTCTGCTAATTTAGACTTTTTGCTTCTTTCAGCTGTTTCTGCAATTTAAGCTACTTTTTTAGCTATTTCATCTAGTTTTAGCTTTTTTCAGCTAAATACACATTTTGTGATCATTTTAAGCTTATTACTGCTTAATTCAGCAAATGTGTTCTGTATCTCTGTGCTAGATTCAAACTTTACAGCTACTTTTTAGCTTATGTTCTTGTAATTTCAATTTTTTGGCTATTTTACAACAAATTGCTAATTTTTTGGACATCCTATTTTTCTGCAAAAATCTTGAAAATGCAGTTTCTATAGTTCAGAGATTCTCAAACTGGTGTCCCAGTACACCCAGGGGTGCTTGAGCCATATCTTGGGGGTCCTCAAAAAATTTAAATAATATGTTCATTTGTTTTTGTTTTTTTTAAATTAAAAAATGCATATGGGTAACAAAGCACGAGTAAAAGAAACATACTAAACAAAACAAAAAATAACATTCCCATAGCATTTAGGGGTTAAAATGAAAGTAAATAATTTTTAAAACGGAATAGGATTTATGAAGGTGTCCCAGGAAATTTTTCAACCTTGTAATGGGTCCCCAGATCCAAAAAGTTTGAGAACCCCTGCTTTAGTTAATCCTGCATTTATTCTGGATTTTACCTCTGCCATCCATGGTTCTGTTGCAGGTCTCCTAACAAATGGCTGTGGTGTCAGTTCACCTTGCTTATGACCGTGGTTTGGGACCATAGCATTTACCCTTCTGAACACTCTGCACAAGCTACAGTCCACCGTGTCTCAGTGGCATACAAAGCATTGAAGAACACAGACTTAATTTCCCTGAGGGCCACACTGACCGACTCCATGCAGCACTGATMCAGCTTTTATATGTGTTTTATTTATTTGTTTTTACTTGTTCCGTAATGCCACTACTTCTGCCATGCTGCCTTATTACCTGCCTACAGTTATAGACTGCAATTACTTTGCTCCAAACACAGTTTAAAACCACATTAAGTCATCACACTGGCTCCTGTGGGGGCACACAGTGGATGTTAATATTAGTTAATGATTAGAGTGCCATATAATTGAGCACTTTTAGCTGACCAGTTTTAGAAATGTTAACTCTGTCAGCAAATCTTAGTAAGCTAAAACCCRGGGCTGTTGATAGTACACACATCCCCTTTTCATATTAATACAAGTAAAATACTGTTCAAGGGCCATTAGTGGCCCCAGGACAATCTCAGTCTGACCCATGACATATTCAAACAAGAAGCAAACAACCTAAAATAAACGAGTAGGGACCAGGAGTTCATTAAATAATCATAAGGGAAAGTATTTTTAACCAGTTTATCACAGGGAGTGCTGCATATTTTTTTTATTAACAAAATAGGTTGAATCTATCAGTCACAAAGAAAGGATGTTTCAATTCAAAAGATAAAGGCCTAGCTTTACTTAAGTAAATGTAAATCCTCTAGTGCCTTTTATGCCAAAGTTGAGCTAAGATAATATGTTGAGAAATGACAGCATTATAGCTGCTTTGCTCAAATTTGTAATTATTGTTGTGCATTACTGAAATATCTTGCACAATCTGCTAAAACTTAGAAGTTTTAATGTRCTGTAACTGACTGCTGGCTACTATCAGGCCACAAAATTTGTAAAAATTTTCTGATTTGTTGCCGTTTTTTTGTGTCGGCCAAGATTAGTTGTGACAGCCTTCTTAAATAGYGTTGACCTCAAGTTGTATGTACGTCAAACGATCACTTTCAATTTTATTGAAATTTATTCAATAGCATTTTTAAGACATTTATTTAACAAACAAATAGGGTTTATTCCATTGCCAAGCAAAGTTGTTATGTGTTGAGGACAATGCTCAGCTGCTATCACAGCAGATTTGAACTATTTGTATAAAATTGATTGAAATTTAGCCAGTTTTGGGTTTCTAACGTTTACCCAGCTATAGTGACCATCTTGAATTGGATTGATTTCAAAAGGTWATTGTACAAGAAAATAAGATGTATTGATAATATATGGATAGGCCCTAGAAGATTAGGTGTAACATAATTGTCATGTATGTTGCAAATCCACTCACAAATTAGAAGACATGGTTTTACAGTCTGGGYCGGCCAGGGTCTGATGCTTGGATCTGTCTGATCACTGGAATGTTCTTTTTAACCTTTCTTTTGTAATATATATATATA